CTGTCCACATCAAATGTCATCTAAAGTGGTATAAAAATGTGGTACAAAAACATGGTATGAATATCATTATTGTTTCTTGAGTACACGTAACCATGTAAGTCTCACGCATATCAACGGGTACACCTCTATTTTGAGAAGTGATTAGTAAATGTGATACAAATAACATCATCATTTTAAACCAACATTTACATGAAAGGATGAACATATATAATTGCATCCAATGCATGGGAAAGGTCTTCCCCTTGCGATTAGCGTGGTTTCACTGTACAAATTTTATAATCATAATCGTTCATTTTCATAATCATCATTTAAAGTCATATTTACAACAATAAAAAATCAATCAAACCACAAAATGTTTAATCATCTCTACGTAACAAAATAATGAACGGTTTATATGGTACCAGAATTTTCAATTTTTTCAGTACATGTCAATTATCAAACGATATATGGTTTGATTTACAGTTTGTTACAGTAAAGTGTCATTTTACTCATTAGTTCGATTCATTTTTCATACGAGTTAGTACTATCTACGATTGAAGAAAAAATGCAAACAACATGCGTCGTTTATCTACATTAGTTAATAACTTAAAGTGTTAAATTCTCTCCATAATTGAAATTTAAAAAAGTGTTTGGGAAAATAAAATAAAAGGGTCGACGCAACATGCACAGGATCCATGGCTCAAACTTTCTGCAGACGAAGGATCCGTGGCTCAAACTCTCCCATCATTAACAAAAAGAGGAACTTTTATTTGGTCAATCAACAAAAAAGGAACTAGTCGTTGGAAATAAAGTTTTAATCTTCCAAACAATGGGTCCCATTTCACACTCCAGTATATGAACGTTGAGGCCCTTGATCCAATTTAACGAATAAATAATAAATAAATTTCCAAGAAAAAAAAAAAAAAAAAAAAAAAGGAGAGACGTCTCCATCTCCATCTCCATCTCCATCTCCAACTCCATCTAAGAAAATCAACAAGGAAACTAGAAACCCAAGCTTTAAAGGCAAACAAAACCCCACGCTCCCCTTCTCTCTCTCTCTAAAAAAGCTTCCTTTTTTCTGCACATTTTTTGGGGTTAAAAATTGTAAAACCAAACATGGAATGGACCCAATAAGGCGCCTTTCTTGAATTGCAATTCACAATTCAAATTTCTAGCCATATAAACGACCCCAATTGGAAGGATTTTCCCAGAGAAAGCAAGAACACTGAAATGGGTGAATCGGCCTGCCTGATGAGATCATTATACGACCCTTCTGAGTGTTCCACTGAAGTCAAAGAGGTCAGTCGTCCTTCTGCGGATTCTCCCATTTCTTTGACTCTTGAAGTCTTTCGATTCATGGGTTTTTCTTGTTTTCTCGAAAGCTTTAATGGGTCTTGATCCGATTGGTTTGTTTTAATCGCATTGTGGTTTGTTTGGCTGCTGAGAAATAGTGGGAAAATGAATACTTTGGTTAATGTGGTGTGGATTAAGATGGTTTTGTTAGAGCTATTCCGTTTGTTATTTTTAGGGGATAAAGTGCGCGTAGTGTTGTATTAGGCGGTTTTCCAATGGATGTCTTCAGTTCTTGGTTCGTTTGGTTTGTTCCTTATCTTGCGTTATTATAGTGAAAGAGAGGAGAGGGAGTGAGAGAGAGGAGAGAGAGAGAGACTTTTAACCAGTTTCGTTTTCATGTTAAAGTTCTTTAGCTTGCATAATCCTGCATCACATTCTTTTGGGATTACATTAACGCAGTGAGCTTATTCATGGTGATTTAAATGATATGGGTATCTCTCTAGTTTCTTGTTGGAATTATTGAATTTTGTGTTTGGATGGACTTGTATGATTTGGTTACATTTTTACGAGTAGGATTTTGGAATTCACTGAGGAAATTGAGATGTGCTTTGCATTGCAGGGTGACCCCCTTCGTTGCCTAGGAGAATCGATCTCCTTCGGTAGGTATATGTCAGAACCTCTTGCTTGGGAGAAATGGTCAGCATTTTCCCACAATCGATACTTAGAAGAAGTCGAGAAGTTCTCCAAGCCCGGCTCAGTTGCTCAGAAGAAGGCTTATTTTGAAGCTCACTACAAGAAAAAAGCTGCCGAGAAAGCAGCAGCCTTGCTTGAGGTGACAAATGCTGGTGCTTGTAATGTTACAGCATCATCGGTAACTATGTACGGAAATTGTGAGAGCTCCTCCATGGACATGGAATCGACAAATGGAGGGAGCCAGATGGTTGTTGATAAAGAACGGGAAAATGTTGCTCCAAATTCTGATGTAGAAGTATACTCGGCTGATGTGAATAGCCATAATCAAAATGTTGAAGGGAATCAATTGGATATCGCCAAGGTGGAGGGAGCAGAAGCGGTGATTGAAGAAAGTGTTAATTTGGAAAATTCTATTCACGTTGAAATATCGAACCAGTTTGAAAATGGCAAAGACCAAAATGAGATTGTTGGCACCCTAGAAGAGAAGATGCCAAATACGGTAAATTGTTGGGCTTTGACCTGTTTTTAAGTAAGTTGCAATTGCTTGACCACTTTTTCTCACCACACTAACTGTTGCCATCTCACAGATCCTCCAGGAAGCTTCCGGTGAGGAGAATCTTGCTTCAATGAGCAAGAAAAGATTGATGAACTCTTCCCCAAGGTTATCCACAAAAGGTAGAGCACCCAAGGTACCACCGTCTCCTGCCAAACAAGCAATTCGTGTGCAAACCATAAACAGGAAAAATGCCACTCAAATGGGTAAGAAGGTTTCATCAGACTTAGTTGACAAGAGGAGTTTGACTGCAAAATCTCTCCACATGTCAATGCATTTCACTTCTCATGGGGGCGAAAATGAAGCCAGTAAAAGAACTTCACCAGTTGTTGAGAAGACCAGAAATTCGAGAAGTAATACAACTAAACTTGATATCTCCATAAATAATCCGGCTTCTCATCGACGAACTGCTATTAGGGTACGAATTCTTACCATTTAATCTTATTATTTATTCTTCATTCATTTGATTTGTGTCTAATGTGACACCTAGTTTTATTTGCCAACTTCAGGCATCTGTTGGCGGGGTATTAGTGCAGTCTTCAGTAGACCCATGGTCCAAAGATAGAAGGTATTCTGCTTTCTACTCACATGTTCGCGAATGGCTCAGTCCATTACATACTCGCTTACGATTGTGCTATTTATACATGCATTGAGTACTTTAACTTTGCGATCAATTATATTGCATCCAGGGCAAAAACATTACTGAATAAGTCAGTAGCTGGACCAATTGGAGATGGGAAATGGATATCCTCCTCAAAAGAGTAAGGACTTTGCTACCGACATGGCTATATGTTTTATTTATTTCCATTTTATTTTTCAGGAACTAATAACTCTTTTTCTGTTATTTTTTTAATTACTTAACAAACTCTATGAACTTGTATTTGTATAATGTTGTAGATTATTGGACTAAAATAGTTAGTGGACTAGATTTAAAAGGAACTACCAATGCTTTCATAACTTATGGTTATGGATTATTCTTAATAACTGATTGTTTGGCAGTCAATCTTCTACTGCAAATGGAAGTAAACCACGACCCCCTATTGTATCATGTCCTTTTAGATTGAAGAGTGAAGAAAGAGCAGAAAAGCGTAAAGAGGCAAGACTCGATCGATTATCATATTTTTAGTTCCTTCCTTATCGTACCATGGTTCATTAAGTATTTGTGTGTTTCTTTGCTAAGAGAAATTTCTTTTTCTTTTCCTGCACCAGTTCTATCAGAGGCTGGAAGAGAAGAAAAATGCCAAGGAGGCTGAACATAAGCTGCTGCAACTGAGATCTAATAAAAGGGTTAGTTTCTTATGAAAATCTTGGTATTTTCGACACAATAACTTTCCTTTGATCTATGCATTTAGATAAGGGGTTTCTTCTCATTCGAGTTTTGCTAACAGAGCAAGGCGTATAAAACATGTGTGACGGGGCAATGCGAGTTGAATCCTGTAATGTTCTATATCCTTGTATTGTTATCAAACCATTTATAAGTATACTTAAAAGAAAGAAAATGTTATGCAGGAAAAAGCAGTGGGTGATGTTAATAAACTACACCAGAGCACTGCCTTAAAAGCGAAACAAAACCAAGATCTGTCCTCAGGACTACAATTGCCAAGTAATCACTTGAACAAGGTACACACATTTTCTTCCGAACTCTGTATATGTATTAGAGCATGCACTGAATGCTTTCAGTAGTCTTTGGAAAGTTTCTACCGCAATTTTAGTTTCTGAGGCGACGAAGACTTCTACTCTCCCCTCGGAACCTTTTCCATTTTATCCCTCTAAATGTATTCTTTTTTATTAATGGTGGACATATATTTCTTGCAGATTCCTATGTCACAGTCTCGGTCACCCAAACTTGGGAGGCACTCTACTGTCATCAAAATTCTGGACTCAAGTTCTCGACCTTTTGTCAATTCTCACAGCTCCAAGTGTGTCACACAAAAATACAATTTGAGCACAAATCGAATGGTGCCTTCTCTTTCAAAGAAGAATGCTCACGAGAATTCTCCTCCCAATATCCTGAGTTGAGGGTGTCTAGCTTAGGGATATGCATGGAGATTGATTGACTCAGCCGGTTGACACCCTCTGAACGAAAAGAAAAAGAAAAAGAAAAGGCCGGTTACCACCCAGAAGGGCCACAACTACTTTCTGTAATACGAAATATGGGGAAAGAAAATTAGTATGCGAGGATAGTATGGTTTTCTTTCGGGGAACGGGGCATTTTGCTGAGGTCTTTCTGTTAGAAGTGAAATTTTGTAGGGTTTATCTTTCATTTCTACGTTGCTTCTTTTGTTCTTTTGGGTGGCTGTAAATAGATCAATATACAAAAGTTAGGAATGATTACGTATATTGGTTGCTCCATGTAGACAGCTTCTTCTTTCTTCTCCTTTCCGAATTATTTCTCTATATTTTTTCCATTTTGTTAATTACATTTCTCGTTTCATAACTTGCGAGGAGAGAACGATGAGTTTTATGCAGAGGTACAGACTTAACAAAAAGCCATTCTGGCATGGATTCTCCACATGCATATAGATACAAGAAATTTAGTGCACATCTCATCAAATTTCAAGAAGAAAGCTTATTATGCTATGGTTTTCCGTCACTCGTGATAAACATTTCGACATTCAAATCCAAACCGGTCAGAGATATAGTAGATATTCAACTTATACTGGCTTATCAAAACGGAAATAGCAACAGATCATTCTTCGTTGAAGTTGCGCAAAAGAACAGTGCCGTGCAGGGGCAGTTCATGATATGAATAGACCTTGACCTATGACAGAATATTCTGATGGCTCACATGGATAATCAAATCTCAATGCATCGTACAAGTGTGCGGGAACTTCAGAAACAAGTGCAGGATCATTGTACTCCGGGAACTCTATATTTTGAAGTCCGAGATTCATGCCATAACAATCACCTTGATACCAACAAATTTGAAAGCCATCATCCAAAGAAGCAAAAGGTGATGCACTTCCCATGATTAGGTTCCTTTGGGCGGATTCCAAATCAGTAATGCAGTTCAAGTTGAAGCCCGGGTACTCCATGTTTGCTGTACTAGTGGAAATGGCCTCAGAAACTTGATGGTTTACCAGACAGCTCTTGATTTGATCAGGAAAGGAGTCCGTCGTGCTTGGACTTACATGGCTACCCTGAGTATTTATGCACTCAGAATACGAAGGCTTACTCTTAGCAGGGCCTGTTACATCTTCCTCCGCGATAGAAGGTCTTGAACTAATGGAAGGAATTGATTGTACTTGATCAACTTGGAAATGGCTGTGTGGACCGGGCAGTGGTGGCTTGTTGAATCCACTATTTAACTGAATAAGTGGCTTCTGCTTTTTATTCAATTGAATTTCATTCCAAGAATACTTTGTTGGAATAGCGGATTCAAATTCAGTGAAGTCTACTTCAGATTCCACCGATGCAATTGAATGACACGGGCGCACCTGCGGAGTCCTAATCTTCTGAGAATCAGGAACATTGCCAATCAAACCTTTTTTGGTTTCTGCGTAAGAATTATTGAAGTCCATCTGTGGACTCCTGGTCTTCTGAGAATCAGGAATATTTCCGTTCGAACCTTTCTTAGGTTTTGCCACAGGCTCTGAAACAATCCCCTCTATGTCACTCTCGTGGCTCTTCATACCCACTCTCTGGGAAACTAAGTTATCGCCAGAAACTTTGAAGCTGCCATGTGCAACATCACTTTGTTGGATGCTGATCGAGTTCTGAAGGCCAAAACTTCCTTGAGCATCTTTTGAGGAATAGTCGGAATGCTTCATCCCCCCACAAGAAGATTTAAGCTCATTCTCTTTCTGCAGCCTACTCAAGTAGAGCCGGTACTTCTGCACATGAACTTTCTCGGTGAGAATAATCATGCGATGTAACCATATTATCTATTACACGTTACTTTTTATTAGCCATTTTGCTACAAGAGAGACTATGAGTTCAATTACTTCAGTGATAAGCATCGTGAACTATAAGTCCTTACAAGTGTCAGTGAATTTAACAAAGCCGACTGAGATCAAGGGAATGGGGGCAATGTATGTTGTCACTATATTTGTGTGTGTGTGTGTGTATACATATTTTTTTTATATATATATATATATATATATATATATATATATATCTGTGTGTGTGCGCACGTGTGCATATATATTATTGCAAAACAAAATTATCGATTGCCATGTATTCCGGCTACCAAGTTACCCCGTAATTATAGTATGGCGGTGTACAAATCCTACTGCATAAAAGTTTCATATGTTATCAGGAAGAGTACTTAAAGGTGAGATATTTACCTGCAAGTGGCTAGCAACATTTTCCCTTGTCAACCAAGGCACGTTCATCAGGTCAAGTATTTTCTTCGGACCAACTTCTGCCAAACAGACATTACACATCATCGCTCTGTAGAAACATAATAAAGTTGGTGGCGATATTATTGAAAAGGAACACAAAATGTATTCAGACTTCTAGTTCATGATGCTGATCCAAAAACCTAGCTTCATAAGCAAGAAATTTACTTACTGTCAAATCCAATATGGTGTACTGCTTTTACAAATTTCTGATGAAGATCTACGGACCAAACAACTCTAGCCTTTTTTGTAGATGAAAAATCAGCAAAGTCTTTGTCATCGTATTTGCTATCGACATCCTTTCTTTTTCTCGATGAAGTGAGGTCATCTGCGTTGAGAAAGTAGCCCTCATCATACTGATCTGATCCACTTCTTATAAGCTGAATACCCTCCAAGCTTTCATGACTCTCAATGTCTCTTATCTCATGTATCTTCTTTCTAAAGACATGCTGCCATATATTACGCAGTTCTTTCATTCTTATCGGCTTAAGAAGATAATCACATGCTCCATGTTGAACTCCTCTCATAACCCTACTCGTTTCTCCATCAACAGACATCACTGCACAGGTAAAACGGATATGATATGTCAGAAATTAAGTGGTGATAGACTTATTTCTTTTGAAGACAAAGCTTTATTGGTCAACGGCAGAGTACTGACTAATAACTGGAAGATCCATCTCAAGTCCTACATGCTCGAGAAGTCTAAAACCATCCATGTCAGGCATGTTCACATCACTGATAACAATGTCATATCCATCTTTCTTTTGGCGAAGCAAGTGCAAAGCATCTCTTGCCAAACCACATGTAGTCACTGAAACACAGACAAAAAAGGGAGGGAAAAAACTTCAGAAATAATGAAAATTAATTGATGCTGTTGTCATTCGAAAGCTGATTATATTATCAGACTGGCCAAAGCATCGTGTCTAACAGTCGGACAAAAACAAAATCCTACATAACCAACATAACCAAAGTAACTACTTCAGTTCCCCATATGAAGTACCACGAAAATTTATTGAGCAAGGATCATAAATAGACTAAAAATGGTCTTTGATTAGCGTAGTTGAAACAAACATCGAAAGGAAAATGCGCTAGACGGCGCATAAAACCTGAAATCCAAGCATGACAGCAAGATTTGGACAGTATTTAACTGCATCAAGTTGTCCATACAACTGATCAGAGTAATAATTCTACAGGTACACTACCAGAGGCACCAAAGAATGCTCCAGTTATCTGAAATCCATCACCTCTACGTGTTTATATTCGATACAGAATAAGTATTTAACATTTGATTAAACTAACTAATTAACGGAAACACATTATCATTATCCTCCTGCATAGCAGTCTGTAAAGACAATCAAATACTCTATCTCAACTAAACCCTGATCATTCTACTAATCCGTTTACTTAAATCGAAAAATCGATAACTAAATTGCTGCTTCTGGGAAGATTAAAAATCCTTGCTTTCAACAAACACAGTGGTTAAATTACCAAATATGATCAAAATTCCACTCATAAGTAAGAGCCCACCAAAATTAACCCACAACTCAAAAACCCATCTCCAAAAACACCAAAAACATTCAGGAAACCCATGAATTTCCAGAATATAGAGAAGAAAAAAAAAAAAACAAAGTTTGAACTTTAAAGAGTGATCGAAACAGAGGAACAGTGAGAAAACTGAGATAGCGTGAAACAACCTTCGTAAGAGCACCTCTTGAGCATCTTTTCTAAGATCTTAAGCCAAGTGGGATCGTCGTCGACGACGAGGACCCGGAGGCCAGCCGGAAAAGTATCGTTTCGGGGAGAAGAGAAGCTACTCTCCATTGAGAAAAAGTTAATGGAAGGAGGAAGAGTTAAGATTGAAGTGGGAGGGGTAGCGTGGGGACTTACAGCTCGAATGAGATTATATAGCTTCGGAGTGTCTCCAAATTTGAAAAAATGGCTTCTTTGGATTTTTTGACAGAGAGGGAACCAACGAATATTTGGCGCCGGATAACTTAACGGTCAGCGTTGTTCACGTTAGTTTCTATTACTTTTTTGGATTAGGAAAGTTTATGTAAGTTACAATTTTTTTACCCAATATTAAGAATACTCGAATTTATTAAAATAAGTCTAATTCTTTAAGTTTAGCCCTTATTTTATCATCAATAATTATCTTTTTAATGATTAAAATTTAAAGAAAAATAATTAAAATGGTTTGAAAATTTTGAATTTTAACGATAAGAACAAAAATAAAGAATAAAGTGAATAGTACCAGAATTGACTTTTTAGTGTAAAAATGTGGTTTTTCGTTAAAATGAACAGTACCAAGAGCTTTTCGTTAAAGTTCCCTAAAATTTAGTAGACAAATTAAATTTTTTTTCTAACTATCTCTTTAATTATTTCTTCTTTTTTTTTCATGTTATTTTTGTTTTTCCTACTGCTCTAAAATTTTATAATCAACTTGTATCATAAGTTAATTTTATTTATCTACCTATATGACAATTCTTTTTTTATAATCAACCAATCACAGATTAATTTGTCTTGCTTGTAAGTATACTAGGTTTTTGTACATTTTAGTAAGGTTTCATATCTTGGTTAAAGGTATAATATACATTGGTATATTTGTTATTGGAGTTATGGTCGTATGTTATGTGGATGTATTTCTATTAGTATATTAATTTTTTGTTAGAAGATATTAAGTAGATTTATTGAAATTAGAAGATTTTAATTTATCTCTAATATTTTTACAAAATATAAAATGAGTATAAAAAATAAAAATAGAGAAAAGATAATACTGGACTTAACCTAATTGATTTTTTGGATCCAGATCTAAATGTCCCAAAAATATATAGAGAGAGAAAAATGTGCAAATATAATGAGTTGTAAAAAAAATTAATCAAAACAAACATTAGCGTATATTAAAAGAGCATGAGTCTTCCCGACTCCTGAAATGGATGGATAATCGTAACTTACCATCAATTTATTCATTTTTTAAAAAAGAAACAAAAAAAGCGTATATTAAAGGAAGTTAAGGACCACTAGGTTTATATGTTATGTATTATATTTAAATGTCTTATACTAAATAAATTCAGTTACATGCTTTTAATTAACAATAAAAATTGAGGAATATTAAAGGAGTACTATATGGTAGTTTATATATTGTCTAAATTTCTGCTTAGTGTTTCCCAATAGAACGACAAAGTTTGAATCAAGATAAAATCGGAGGGCACTAGGCACAAAATTTTGGTTCATCAACTATCTATTGTCAGTTATGATTCTGTATATAGCTGAAACATAAACAAGTTTCACCATTGGTATCCAAAAAGAATATGGGAAATTGAGAAAAGTACGGTGACACATCCTAGACCGGTTTCGTCGTAGCACGATATTGTCTGCTTTGGGTCATACCCTCATGGTTTTGTTTCTGGGAACTCACACGAAAACTTCTCAGTGGGTCACCTATCCATGCTCTTGCCCGAACCTGCTTAACTTCGAAGTTCCGATGGAACTCAAAGTCAATGAGTTCCCAAAAGGCCTCGTGCTATATGGAGGTGGGTATGCACATATAAGGCACATCAACTCCTCTCCGTTGATCGATGTGGGATGTTACATATGGTGACTTCGAAAAATTGGGGGTGGAATCTTAGGTATACCAGATAAAAGAAGTAGAATCTAAAGGTGGGGATGGTGGTGTATGCTTTGTGAAAAAATGCTTTGAATGAACAAGGGCATCTTGTAAAGGACACATAGGTAGCTTAATGCATCAATTTCAAAGGGACACAAAGCATGGGTAACATCTACGATGTCACATTATAGTTCAATGCAACATCAAATGCATGAGTGAGATTTAAAAAAAAAAAAAATCTTAATTCTTTATCAATTTTATTTATCACATAAATATTTCAATAATTTATAGTCACCGAGTATTGTAACTACACACCAAAGTATAATTCTACTAGATTTGATTTAGAGAATTGGAGTAATGGTCCTGAATTTTGCACAATTAGAGCTTTGGTCCCTAAACTAAAATGCGTGAGTATTAGTCCCTGAACTTGCTATAACGTGGAGCAATGGTCATTTTCGCTAACTCGATTCGTTAGAACTTCCATCCAAAATAAAGAGTTTAAATGGGCAAAAATAGATGGAAATTATGACGGAGTGAGCCAAAATGACAATTGTTTCACATTATTACAAGTTTAGGATCAATACTCATGATGTTTTAGTTCAGAGAAACTCTAATTGAATTAAAATCAATTAAAGTTACAGGGTATTATAGTCACATGTCAAAAATAATTTAACTAGATTATTTTATGTGCAAGGACTCCTTTTTACTTGTCACCTAAGATCATTTACAATATTGCATTTTGTGCCAAGACTCAAGGCCGAAAGGCAAGAAATGAAAAGGCAAAGCCGCCCTTTTTGTTGGGCAAAAAATATATTATTTATCCTCGTAGACTTGAGAGGAAGGTGATAGAACAAATTGGAGTTCATGTTTTTAATTTTTTGGTAAAAAATATTTGAAGTTGATGCATGTTGGATAAAGAAAACAAGGGTTTGAAGGCACGTGGAATCCATTTGAGAGACAAAGATGAAAAGTTGTTTGAAGGTTACTTTGTAGTGGTTGGACAAAAAGCCAAGGCCATCTGAACTTGAAGACAACTGAAATCCATTCGGCACCAAACTCACAGTATTTGACCTTTTAATTCTTCCAACCAGTGTTTGTAAAGCATGCATGTTCTTGACAAGCTACACATTATCCAAATCCTTTCGATGAAAGTGGAAGCATTTGGAAAACTCCTTTTGTTAATTTAATTGTTTAATGTCATTGCTCAGCAAATAATTCATATAATTAAAGTATCTTTAAGTACTTAGGGTAAAGTTTCACTTAATATTTTGGGAAAATGCATGCATGGGCACATTGTGGCATCTAAAAATCGGAAATATTTTTGCTCACCATCCTCAAATGTTGGTAATGTTTAATACTCTGTTTATTACTTGTTGGATAGTTTAAATATTAAGATTTGTGTAGTAGACAGACATAAACTTCAAAATTTAAATTCATTCAATGATAATAGGTAGGTTGGTGAGCATTACCATCGCTTGAGGGTGGTGAACAAAAATGCACCAAAAAAAATCAGTCTTGGGTAATTAGCATCGACTTTCGAGAAAAAACTTGAGAGTAGTAAAAAATATCTCTATATTCATATCATGTATTACCTCAGTTGCTATTTCACTTGTCGCATGACTTGATCATGTAACGAATGAATAGAAACTTGAACATCTATCCCTAGTTACATGTAAGAATGTCCTGTAACCTTGCACTATAGAGAGATTTTCAGTGTGACTGGAACACGAGGCAGTACATTATATCTCATTATACAATTGAAGGGGCACTTGAAAAAAATAAAAAATAAAAAATAAAAATCTCCAATTGTATAATAACGTGGCGTACCGCTCTCTGTTCCGGTCATCCTGAAAAATCTCTCATTTTACTAGTATTAAATAACTCAAATGCAATAAGAGAAGGACAAAACATCCTTGTGTTGTTTACATTGACATTAGCAATCAGTTTACACATGCAGTGTATTTTGTCTCCATTTCATTAGTGCGTGGTTTTCACTCTTGGTTTTTTGTCATGTTTTAAACATGAAATTAGAGAGATTCTAACCCACATTAAGTTTAACATCACAATTAAGGAACGTTCATGATGCTAATTAATCTCGAAGGAACATCTAACTTTTAACAAAAGAATTAGTCCTGAATCTACTTTCTAATCACTCCAATAGCTAACAAGGCCACTAGATAGATGACATGCACTCAGTGACATAAGAGGATTCATGCTTAAAAAAAAGTAATGGCAGAGTTTGCAGATTTCTTGAAATATTTAAGATTAAGACGGGCTAATCATTATCGTTAATTGAGGCCACGATGCCCCTAAGCAGAAAAATATTGAAGCTAGTATAGTGCCATTTGCACCATATTGGTGCAAAATAAAGCGGCATCTTTTCTGAGACTCCATTTAATTTAAAAATGGTTTAATTTGTGCCAAGGATCACTTAATTAAGTTTCTTGACCAGCAACCCAGCAAGAACAAGATTTCCTTGCGCACTTTGTGAAAGAGACACTTGCATATATATATATATATATATGCACATACATACGACCGCGATATATTTATCACTGTGACAATATCTTAAGTTAATCATGGGTTGTCATACATACAACAAAATGAAACTACGACGGTCTCTCAAACTAATTATACAATATCATGCATTTTAACTTTATTACATGACAGTGCGAGCAGTGGCAAATCTAAGAAATATTATTGGAAGGGTCAATAAGAATAGCGCAAGTAGCACGCAAAATATTTTGGACAAAATAATTACCAAATTGGCAATTCATCGAGTCGTGATAGGCCTGGGGTCATTTTCCGAGTCATATTGCATGCATGTCAACAAATACCAACAACTTTCGAGCGAGCATATTGATTGATGTCAATAACTTTTAAGCAAGCATGATGACAAATGCTAACATATACCAAGTGTGCCTATCGAAAGGGCCCATAGCAAAGCACACATAGGCACGAGGCTAACAGCTACCCTGCCCAATGCTTATAAGGCAATTCATCGAGCAGTTGGAGGACATCTTTCAAGGGCATCTCAAATTTTCAAAGGGCAGCACCTAACTCTTTCATGGAGGATTTATGAACTTGGAGGAGTTAGCTGACCCACCTTGTCTCAAAGGTGGATTCACCCCTGAGTGGGTGATTGACTTAAAAATATCGTGCACATTGTTCATGATATGTAGTGTCAATTTCTTAGACTAATCCATACACTATCATGTATTTTAACTTTATTACATGACAGTCGTTATTGATTTAAAAGATGACCGCAATAGCAGTGATATTCTCATTATATGTAAGTTCCTCCTCCACTTTGTGTCATACAAAAATGCAAATAATGGTGTGAG